AACTTTGTCTCTTCTTCTGAAAAACTATCTACAGACACCACTGTGATGCTGTCTGTCTTGAGAACCTTTTTTTCTAACAGCATTTTATTTAGAAACCTGTCAACAAGTCATCAAATGCAGGTTAACATACTTCCTGTTACATCTGGACAAATATAATTATGTCATCTCAGTTAACGTGTTTCAGTTGACACTTCTCTGGAATTGATACGCCCCCACCTGCCTAATGATGGTCTAGTGAGGAGTTTTGTCCACCATGTAGCTCTGTCAGGGCTTGTTCTCACTCTCTCCCTCTTTGGTTCTGCTGTGCCCTGAGTTAAACTCTCTCCAAATGCCCTTCTCTCTGCTCCGAGGCTTGATTTACAGCTAGGTAGCTAGGTATGAATATGCTCAGATCACAGAAACACACTGCCTTGGCATGTCCAAACATGCATGTGACATGACTCAGCAAGAACATGACACATGCACACAAGCACACATCATTCCTAGGAGATCATAGGGATGAAAGCAGCAGGAAAGTGAAATAGAAAGAAAATGCTAAAGAGACACAAAGAGGAACAAACAGGAGGGGCAGTACTGATAGAAACCAGGGCAAATAAGGATGAATATGATGATGGATCAATATGTAACAGTCAAACACTTCCATCTTTGTTCAACGTGAGTAAACTTTATACTCTACTATGATATAATATAACATATTTTATTATATTATATAGGCAGTGGTGGCTTAGTGGTTAAGGAAGCTGACTTGGGTCCAAAAGGCTTCAGGTTCGAGTCCACTAGCTGCCAAGTTACCACTGAGGTGCTCTGAGCATGGCACTGTCCCCACACACTGCTCCTTGGCTCCCTCAAAGCTGCCTACTGTTCACTTTGGTGATGGGTTAAAAGCAGAGGTCACATTTGGTTGTGTGCAGTGGTGAGCTGTGTCACAATTACAAGTATTTTTTTTTTTTGAGCTGACAATCAGTTCTTTTCTGCCGTCATCCCACTTTCACTCATTGCCATGGCAATGATGTTACAGTAGTCACCTCCACACCCCCCTCCTCCTTAATGGCACTGCTGCTGCTGACGAAACATGGGGAACAGAGAGCTCTGTTTCCCTGGAAACAGACTGGGGGTCTCCCCACCCCAATCCTGGGAGCCAGCAGAGTCTCTGTTTTCCAGGTTGTCTCTGAATCCTATCTGGTCTTCAGTTCTGTGTTAACACTGAACTACATTGGACTACATTGGTTCATAGGTTTTTTGGCACTAGATGATTTCCCTTTTGTTTTATATTTATTTGTAAAAAATCTTGAGCCTTTGAATTTTGGGATAAGAGTATGAGTTTTATATATGCAAAATTGTGTTTGTTATATTTCATTGTCCACAAATACAAGACAAAAGGTCAACCTTTGTTGCTGCTGTGTCAATATAAATGTCAAATTATATATATTTTAATAAATATAGACTTTGGAAGGTCGTGGACTGCAGTCTGCGTGCCACTGTTTTCTTAAGAAAAACCTTCTAAATTAACTACAGGCTCACAGCACACAGTACAGATGACCTGGAAGCATGTCAGTATAGTGCAGTATATAGAAAACCCATCCCAATACTTACAACACAATTGTGTCCTTCTACCTTTACCAATGTGTGCATGTCTCTTAGCATGTACAGGAGTTCGCAGTATTTAGAAGTGTAGCTTCTAAAAGCTTTAATTGTCCTTGTATAACTGTGAGTTACACAGGTCCAAGCTATTGAACATAATAATACAAAACATAATAATTTATGTTTTCCTAGAGGTCGCTATTGTACATTAATAGGAAGCAACATAAAAGTAATTAAACAATTAAAACAAACATGCTGGTGTGCAGAAACAGTAATACTACTGTGTGGTATTAGAGTCATTTCTGGCAGCAGTACACTAGCACGTGTGGTACTTTTATCAGTAGATGGTTGCTCTGCCTCTCGATCTTTTCTGCCCCTCTAATTGTCATGTGCCTTACATCTCCTCACTGATGCCACACGGTGATACCAGACTATCTCTGTTACAGTACGGACAGAGTACACTCCTGTAACAATGCTCCTGTAACTTGGTTAGTGAGTTTCACGTTAACCAAGTGGTGGTAACTCTTAACAATGTATGCATTGTCAATATTCAATGTACTTTATTTATACTGTATGCTATACAGATACGTTTAATATATTTTAGTAAATATCTGTTTTCAAATTTTTAAATAACAATTCTCTTTATTCATTTATTAAACATGTAGCTAACCTGTGGCTAAGTTCAATATTTTACTGTAAGAAAACACACATACACAGTATCCATTCCCCAGTTAGTGTACCACATATATGCTTTATATCTGTATCACACTTTGAATTTATTTTAACTTAAAGGAAAGCTCCTTTTCTGATTTTGTATGATCTAATAGTATCCAACAGTAAATCAGACATGACTCTAACATTGCATCTGTTACTGTTTACTTTACATATTTTTGACCACATCATGTGGATGTCCTTCAGCTACATTTTCTCAGAGTTGCACATACACAATAAAACTAGTCACCTTCACTCCCAGGGGACTGTGGTGTTTTTTTAAGCAAACATCTTTCTTCAGTTTAAACATTATTATCAGCAGACTGCACAGCACAGCCAGTACAACTGTCAGACTGTGATGATGTCACAATCTCAAGAGTCACTGCAGTGTTTTGCATCACTTACCCAGAAGTAGTTGTACTCTGTCTCTGCCCCTATACATCTTCACAATCACCTCTGCAGAATTCACTGACTTGAACTAAAACAGTGTTTATCAATACTTGTGATGCTCCACAATGACACATTGCATAATCACTTAACAGTGAACTTCAGGGGAGGCATAATGTTACTAGTTAACAGTAGCACACCTTATTTATAAGTTTCATGTTGATTTAATTTTTGTTTCTGTGTTTTATTTCGTCAAATACCAGACATTAACAGAAACTTTTTTCCTGTGAGATTTTACACCAATATAAATATATTTTATATTGATTGTGAATAACTCTTAGAGGAACTATTTTCAGCTTTAAGCTGTATTTATTCATATTAAGGACTTTACTAACTTAACAGCAAAGGGCAAAGCCAGTCTCTGACCTTAATTTATGTACAGGTCATCACCTTCACAAAACTTCCCAAGGGCACGGACAGAAAAAGTCTGGAATAATTAGCCTGATTTGAAGTCTTCCTTTAATGGTAGAACCAACGATGCAATTTCCGGGTCAAGCATAAGAGTTTAAAAATAACTTCATTTTATGACTTCATGGCCTCTCACAAATGGAGACTGCTTGTTCAGTACCCAGAACACAATTTACAAAGCACTTAACAGAACTGTAAACGGCCTTTCTGATGCCTGAAAAGCATGGAGGGAAATCAATAGCCCTGCATCTCACTTTGTTCATCAGTCTTTTGTTTCTTTCCATTTTAACTTTAGATTGTTGCAACAATGCAATTGGATGGCCCTCCAATCCAACCCACCCCCAACATGGAGAATACAGCTACTTGAAGTGGTATTTACAGTTGTTATTGTGATGCCTGTCACGTAAAAAGACTTGTCACAACCTATCAATTATCAGAGGCAAGAAAAAAAGCAAAATTGATGTGGATGAACTTCTACGTGTCCTCTGCTTTAATTAGGACTTCACTGTGTAATTAGCTATGTGAAAATAATTACCATCAAACCGTCTGATTAAAATCTCTGTTGGTCTCAAAGTCAGGAGACTCAAAGAGAGACGCCGGCGTCAGATAAAAGGTGTGTGAAGTTTTCCAACCAAGCCCACCACAGTTGTCTGTGATTTTGGCTTTAATTCAGTGGCAGACTTGTAGGTAGCACCTCTGATTGGTTCTGAGAAGCTACGCAGCAATTCAACAGTTGATTGAAAATGGCCTTGGTCTAATTAAAATTGATCTAATTAGAATTCTCTGATTACATCTTGACAGGAAATGTATGGATATGATGTTTCCCTTGGCCTCTTTCAACGTTGTTACCATATCTTCCTAATGATTTCGGAGGTAAATTGATTCTGAGCAGATGAGGTAAAACAATGGAAGACGAGGTGCCAGGTTCATTTACTCCTCCCTTTATTTTGACAACTTCCTCTTTTGTTCTTTTTTTCCACTCCCATTCCTGTCTTTCTCTGGCCTGAGGTCATGATGCCCTCCAGCTCCTTCCCTCAGAGTCGGGATGACATCATACCCATAACTCGCTTCGTTCTCATAGCGCCTATTCATCAATGTAATCACCATCGCAGGCTTTAGCAACATCACCTGTGCACACACACGCACACACACATATTTGTGGTAAGATGATAAAAGCAAGGAGAGGCATCATCGGCTTTGCAGCAGTGCAAGTTCAAAGCACAGATCGAGGGAAATGCAGAGAGACCGGGGGAGGGAGGGATCCTGCTGGGGTAGGCAGAAACCCCTGACCTGTGCACTTCACACCATACATCTTCATAAACTACAGTACGGACAAATCTGATGAGTCAGACCTTAGGCTTCAGAGGGAAAACTACAATAAAACAAGCATAAGAAGAAAGAACACACCACATCCACCCTCACACCGCCTTCTCCATCTTTACTCCTCCTCTTCCCTTTCACAGGGATTCACATTTTTTCTCTCTTAGTCACTAGTTAATCCAAAACCTCCTGAGCTCCAGTGCTGCTCATTGTACTCAGTTACTGGAGTATAAAAGTACAACAAACAGGAGCAAGGAGTACACAAGTTCTGATATTTGGCAGATTGTAGAATTGGCTAATACAACAAATATTGGAGATCCAGAGTCATCTGGTGCAACATGCCTTCATAATTGTGGTAAGGCAAATAAGTAAAGAGTAAATTTGTACCTTAAAGAACCTGATCTACTTTAAAGAAGTTCTACAAGGCCCTGTGATGGATGGATGAATGGATGGATGGACGGACAGACAGACAGACAGACAGACAGACAGATAGATAGATAGATAAGAAGTGTATACTGGTATCCAAAACTCACATAGTCATGGAATGCCTTGGCCTCACTGGAGTGCTCACATGTGTCTCTTCTCTCTGGAGCTGCACAATACAAGTCCCAGAACACACTGCAACAACACAGATAACACAGGGTGTGAATAACACTTAAGGAATCCAGCATTACCGCAAAATAGTATGATTTTATTATCACTACTGCAATGAATAATTTCAGATGTTCCAATTTGTAAACGGCATGCCAACGACAGGCTTTGGGGAGCAATTAAGGAAAACAACAAGAAGGGGAACCAGCAAGATGCTTTTTTTTCTTTCAATAAAGTCAGAAAAATTACAACAAGGAGTCATTAGCCGATACAATTACACTCACCACCACCATGAATGGAGGAACCCTGGAGGTTCTCCTAGTGTGATGTTCTTCTCCCATCGGATCTACGGAGAGACAGACAAAGAAGCTTTAAACTATTAATGATTAAGTATTGAAACGTATCCAACGTCTGAACAACAGACCTAACAGGATCAAAGGGCCTGTGAAGCACTCCTTTAACACCCACCATCATCATTATTATAATATGATTCTATGTCATGTTCTTGTAAGTGGATAAGTGAGTCTTCATCATGTTCTTGAAAGCTCTTCTGTTCAACACTGTTAAACAGGACAAATCTATATTAAAGGGTGACTGTGTTTTCCTTTGAGAAAACACTGAGATTAAACCCCATTCACTGCATTTTTTGTCCCTAAACTATCACATTTAAGAAGATTTGTAAAAGTATCTGTGATGGATTTCAGAGAGTAAACTTTGGTGTTAGGTTATATAATTAATTTTATTCACAAATTACCTTATTATCATGAAGTTGTCTCAAGGAAGTGATGTCATGACAGTCAGTGACATTTATGAGTCTGAAAGTTTTGTACAGAAGTTTTCTTGTTTTTTTTCTATTGCAACTGATCATTAAAATTTGATTTCCTTTTCCTGTTATATTACTTCTCAATGTTTTGCAAGTTGCTTGTTACAATATTATACCTCAGAAGTATTATTAAAAAAGACAATTATTTTTTATTACTATGTTTTTTTCTCTCACTGTAATGATTTACTTAACAATCAAACTGTCTCAGCTGGTCAACTGGCAGCCTGAGAAAGCACTAAAAACAACAGGAAACTCTGAAATGTGGCACTCAATCAGACCGTCCTGACCTCAGCTCGACATCGGACGTGGTGACTCTTAGAAGGAATGTCTCACTTTGATGTTTTTTGGAGGGAACAGAGACTCAGGAACTGCCCTCGCTTTGTTTGTCCAACATTCTGACTTTCTCACTTCCTGTAAAGCTTTCAGTGAAACTGAATCATTCTCAGATGGGTTGCTGGCAATTCCCACATGCAGCAGACAGCTTAGGACAGATTTACCCCTTCTGATTGTTTAAATGTCAAAAAAGTCTACAGAATATCTCAGTTTACATCTGATTGGTTCTCACTGGGCTGAAAACAAGACTTCACTCAGACGGTTCAGTTGAGGACACTTCAGTGTCATCTTTTATCCTGCTGTATCTGGTAAAAAAAAACATCAGTGACTACCCGCATATCCTGATGCCTGGTGTTCTGTGAGTTTCATTCATTCACCTTCACTACACTACAGTCAGATGCCTTCAGCATGATTACAGGCAGATGTCAGGGGCTTTCTTTCATCACAGATCAGACGTGAAGTATTTTCTTCATAGTGTATTTCCAAATAGGTGTATCCTTGTTATTATGGGCTGTCCTGTGAGTCCTGTTTAAGACAGTGTAAGTAAACAATACTAAATAATTAATAAATTAACCTGTTTCTAGTCCACATTGTTAGGTGTTTATCTTTGAATGTCACTATTACTCTGCCTGAGTTTTGGCCACTTTAGATCAATTTCTCTGTACTTACGCTGACTTGAAACTATAAATCAGGATTTTTTTCCAGCAATAATTTCATATTGGCGATAAGATTAAGGACTTTTAATTATTGCACTCATATATGACAAAAACAACATAGCTTAATATCCTGCCGACAACGTCAGTTAGATGTGTTGTCATCAAATTACAGAACCTCAATGCATGTTAAAGTGAAAGAACAATGTGAACTTCGACTGAGAGTACAAGCAGACGTGACAGCTTTTTAACCCTGTGTGCATAGTGCAACTCAATTTAACCCCAGACATTGTTCCCTCATTGTATTAAAACGAAAACTGATGTCTTTGAATGATGAATGTCATCAAATTTTGATTACCGACGTATGCAGTGTAAATAATTTTTTATATACACAATGAAATAGAAAAGACAAAACACTGCTTCAAAACACAGGAAATAACTGACTTTTTTTTCCTCTGTGCTTTTTTTGAGCAGCAGCTGCACATGAAGTCTGAGAGACAGAGCGAGCAAGAGAGATGAGAGAAAAAGAAAGGTCATGGTTCTCTTATTAGAGGTGATGAAAAAGAGAATCTGTGTTCCAGTATTATGTATCATTATTACAGTGATGTTTTTAAAATACCTAAAAGCAGAAAATGCTGTGACGCACCCAATGACCCATTAATGATGTAATATTTAGAACAAACACTGTGAATAAAACACATGTTTGCTTTGGTGCCCTGTGTCAACTGTCTCTGAAGTTAATAATTATAAATGCATTTCAATCAAATGTGATTCTAGAGTTCCCTGGTGTTCTAGGAAAGGGGAGGGGTATTCATTACTGATTCATATATCACTAACTACTGAAGATGTATCCCTGAGGTGAAAGTTGTTTTATTTTCAGTGTTACGTTGTCACTTCCTCACTTCTCCTTCCCCCCAGAGCCATCTGTGATTTGGTATCAATATTTTAGTTTTTGGGTCTGATGTGTGACTCATCTTGATGGGCCCTTGTTTCCTGAGCCTGAGGTTAGGCTGTAAACAGATGTGCATGATTAAAAAGTGGAAAACAGGCCTTTAAAGGCTTCATTATGGTGCAGCGTTCATTCACTGAGTACGTGCCTGTGTCTGCATTTGTGTATTATGCACCAGCAGCTCTGTTTATACTTGTTGCACTCTTAGCTTTTGCATTCCCACACTTGAACATGACACCATCGGCTCTTTTCATCTTTCGCATCTGCGGAAGAGAGCGCATGTAATAAATAAAAGAGACAGGAGAGAGAGGAAGGGATGAGAGAGAGGGAGAGAGAGAGAGAGAGAGGGGGGGGATAGGGGTGAGGGGGAGGGGATAAACTGAGGTGTGTGTCTTGGTGTGTTGCACAACTACACACGAAGTCTAAGAATTGATGCCAGCTGATGATGTAACCTCTTCCATCCCCCTCTCTTTGTTCTCCTCTCCTGGCCAGTGTACAACATGCCTCTTAGCCACTGTCTTTACCACTCTGCATTAGCCACTCTGCATTATAATTTACCGTCATTTAATGAGAATCAACTAACCTCGTTTTCACCCTCTCACCTTTTTACCTCTACAGAGACTAGACCATGTCTCGTGGATAGCAGTAAAGTAGATGGACAGAGGAAAGAGATCACAGAGAGAGAATGTCAAAAAAAGATGAGAAAAAACTGGAGGAAATTACCACAGACTGAGTCGATCAGTACAGACAGTGCCCACCACAGACTTCAGCTCCAGGCTGATCACAGAAACTCTCAAAAAATGCAATGCAAATTTGAAAAGCTGAAGTAAATCTGAGAAACGTCTTATCTTAGTGCTGTATGGCCACAATAACAAACTGTTAGGACCCCTAATGTGTGGACCCATACAGTACAGTACAAGGCATGATACTATAGTACTTACCTCTGACAAGAAGGTCTGTGCTGACTTCTGCGCTCCTACATGCAGCAGGTATTCGTAAACATACAGCGCTAACCTTCAGGGAAACAAAAAGACAAAAAAATGTTTTCCTTAGATTGTAATTATATGTTCAGTCCAGCAAAAACAGAGAAGGGATTCGTGTTTGGGACAAGAGATTCACTGGAAATATACAAAATGACAGGGATGCAAACCTGTAAATGTTTGTTGTCTATTCCTATCCCAGATAGTTCAAAAATATACTGCTGTGGCACAATACTCCCCATCTCAGTCAATATTTAATATAAATCCATCTGTAAAAGGTTTTTACCCAAAGGTTTAACTGGAAACAAAAGATAAAGAAAAAGAAAAACAGCGGTGACATGGAGCAGTGTGTGAGGGCAATGCAGTGTGTTACGACTCTCATGTGGAACAGGAGGTCACACACCAGGTCACAAACACCAGTCAGAAGTACAACATAGGGCAACATCCTTTCAAAGCAGAGGTCTTAAAGTAGCAGCAGCAGTAGTAGCAGCAGATCACCTGTGCTCCAGCACTGATACTGTTGTGGTTGTCAAGAAAACCAGAACAAGCAGCATCTACTCTGCCTTGATTGGCTACCTCTGGCAGGTTGCTCTGGCAGACCAATGGCAGCGATCCTAGGAAAATGTTTTTAACTGTGTATTTCTTGATACAAATGAGATGGCTGCATAACTAGGGGCAAATAATCACTGGCAAAGAAAGATTTTCCATACCACTGTAAAAAAAAAAAAGACTAGAAAGTTATACCAGGCTGTGGCAACATAGATTAAGGGGTTGTATTTCAATACATGTTAAAGTAATTTTACATTTTTAAATGGGGCAACTATGTTGTTGGATTTAACATCAAGAAATAACTGTGTAATACAAAAAACAGCCCTCAACAAGGATGGAGGTTTATGCTTTAAGCTTTATATTTTTTTATGTTTATTTAGTTTAACAACTTTCCACTAATCTTTGTGTACTATTTTAGATCAATTAGCGACTGATCAATTACAGCCATTTTCAACTCATCGCTGTCTATTTTAAAGCCTAGAGTCTGAGGGTTTCTACTCAGAAGCATCACTGTGTCGATAAACAGACTCTTTGGGCAGGGACTAAAAATGTAGGACACATTTCTGACTGATTCATTTTTTAACCCACAATAGAATCTAGGAATTTATAAAACGCTCATTTTATTTGCACAAAACTCAAGGTGACAAATAACTTGTGTTCTTCCATAAAGACACTAAAGAAACACCACCGTCACCATCACTATTAAATATGAAAAAGCAGCAAAAACAACATGTGTGTAGTCTGATCTAATCAAAGCCTGACACAGCATAAGATTCCTCCAGGAGCGGGATTCATCCTTGTATGTGTGTGTATGTATGTGTGTGTGTGAGAGAGTATGTGTCGATGATTGTGTATCATCAGGCGTGAAAGATGGTCACAATGGGACGGCATCTGTCCTAGAACCCCTGCTGGACGGTGCTGCTTGACCGCAGCAGTCCGTCCAGACTCCTCATTCAACAAGGTAAAAATATATTCCCCAGACAGCCCTGTCTGCCTGTCTGAAGATGATAGACTGCCCACCTTTCTGTATGCTGCACACAGGTACACTGCCCACCTCCATCCCTACACCCCCGCCAATCTTCTCCCCTGTGTTTCTGTCCTTCTTCTACAGCACTTTTTATCCTCACCCCCCTTCCCCGTCTTGCCTGTGGTGCTTTCTTGTTGCTCTCTTTGGTAAGACTCCATTTTTTGTTTAATAATAAAGGGATAAAAGGGAGAGACTCTGCTTTATCCTTCCTTCCCTCTCTCTATCTCTCTTTCTGATGTACCCCCTCCCTCCCTCTTCTCTCCCTCTGTTTCAATGTGCGGATATTAACATGCAGGTAATGTTTGACCTGAATGATAAAGACCGAATGTTTCATAGAAGCAATGTTAATGGAACAAAGAGAGGTTTGACAAAACTACCGACACCTTGACAACTCCACATAAATAAAAGATATGCTCCTTTTTCCCTCCTTACAAAGCCAAACATTTCCAGGAGCAAACCTGTTGAGTGTTCTCCTGTGAGCGCATGTTTAAGGGGCAGCCACATCAGTATAGAATTTACATACACATATTTTGTGATATTTGTATAATACATTTGTGGCTACCTTTGTGTGCCACAAGTGCACTGTTTTTGATGAAATAAATATAGCAGTGCTTTGTCTCAGAATTCATTAAACAAAACAACCCCAGCTGTTGAATAACTGCCTTTCAGATAGGAGCATTTGACCTGTGGTTTATTATGCAGATACTTTGCAATGTAAACTCTGACCCAGATGTACAGAGAGGGTCAACAGCAATGAAGAGGCTGAGGTACTGAAGCAGGTGAGTGAGAACAGCTATGGAGGATTTAAAAAGAGAAAGGTAGGAAAGAGGCTAAAAAAGAGGAGAGAAGGCTAAAGCAAGAATTGTGGGAAAATCAACATTGTCTTTAATCATTCTGTTACAATGGGCCATCGACATGGCAGGAAGTAGGCAAGACCCAAATGCAGGTCTGGTGCAGGTAGTTTATTTGAAGGTTCAAAATTCCAAAAACCTGGACTGAAGCATAGAACACGAGCTGAGAACACGAACAGAGTTGAGCACAGCAACAGACTTGCTCAGGAACAAACTAGGAACAGCTACAACAAAAAGCTCGACACAACGCTGGCACGAACGATACAGTACTTACTTAATGATCCCACAAGGCCAGAGTGAGGGAGACAGGTATATATACAGGGAGTACCAGGTGACATAGGTGAGGCTAAATGCAGATGAGTGTGATAACAGATTACCCCACACAGATTACCCCAGACCTGACACATTCTTCAACACAACACCCTAAATGTGCTGATGACTGCACACTAAGACACATTTATCCAATGACCCCCCCACCTTATGTCTCTTTTTATTGAACACACATCAGCAGAATGCCATCAAAACATCTCTAACCCTAACCCAGCCAAAAAAAAAAAAATACTAATAGAAAAGAATAAAATATGAAACTGTGGTAAACCTCTGTGATCAGTGCATTGGAAAGCCAAGATATTACGGTTTACCAATTACATTTAAAAATGCTGTTTGGTATTTCAACCATTTTAATTATAAAAACGATTATATTACAATAAAATAGTTCTAGCCACGAAACAAGATTTTAAGATTTTTCAAGGTCCTCCTTAGTTTCCCCATTAACTAAGGGTCTGATAGTTTCTAATATTGAAAAAAAGAGGACATTTTAGGATTGTAAGGGGGAAAAATATCACTGTTTCATAAAAACCAGGCTGCAAAACGTGCTTAAAGTAATACAGTTTCACTGTCTTTTTAACTGTGATTGATGAAGATTTAACTTTCATAACAAACTTCATATTTAACTTTTAAAGGCATTGAAAAGTGGGTTTGCACATGAGAAACGGCAGAGATGGATGATTATTGAACTGGGCACTGGTTAAGTTTAAAAGTTAAGTAGAAGTAAAGGCACTACAGTGAAAGTACCACAAACACTCATGCCCTTACGTGGACTGCCGCTTTATTAAATCTCTGCTTGAGATGTGTTGCATTTGCAATCTGCACATTTGTTGGATCACTTAATAGCTGTTTGGTGTTTGTCCTTGATGTCTGACACAGCCATAAATCCAGGTCTTTTTTTGTTCCACACCTGTCTACCCAGGTAATTTGTGTTGTAAATAAGAGCCACTTTACATTAATCATGGCTGCAAGCAGCATGATTGAAGAGATCAGGTGCCTCCCATTTTGCTTCTTCTCCTTCTGCACTCAGTTGTGTGCGTGTTCATGTGTATGTGGGAGACAGAGGCAGGGAACTTTATGGCAAATGTCTGACCTTTTCCTCCTTCGAATTCAAGTTCTTTTTTCTCTTTCTGTGGCTGAAGATTAATTAAAGTCACATTCCGAGCTGGTATTACCCTGCTGCAGATCTACACAGGAGCAGACAACCAGCAAGATCTAACAGTCAGACACAGAGCTAAGCCTAATGAAGGCAGCACAGAGTGGGCAGAAACAGTGACCAGCCCAATTGGCTGCCTTGATACAGAGTCGTACTGACATGTAGTTGTTTGAACAAGATCAGCATTTAGCAGAGACCAGTAGATCACTTCTAATCAATTTACCGGCACGGCGATCAAAGTCTGGCACAGCTTCAAGTCACACAAACAGACAATGGCCACACAGTGATTGGATTTGCCTGTGATAGATTAACTCCACATTATTTCACCCTTGTTAAATATGAAATGGAAAAGTGATTACGATTCTAATCTGAACGGCTAGAGATTTAATTTACCAGATCTGCTGCTGTACTGTGACTCAAACCTGACTCCACCCCCGAAAAAAAAAATTAAAATATTTACCTGACATTCTAATTAATAATGCATAATTTGAGAACCTCACACCAGGACTGCCTTCAAATAAATATCAATTAAATTTCAATTAATTAATTAGAGAGAAAAAATGCTTTGGTACACACAGGTAACACTAATGCTTAGTGCATGGATAACAGCAGGGCAAACTACATGCAAAAATAAAAATAAAAAAATAAATAAGGAAATGTCACTAATGTTAGCGACATCAATTCTGTGTGTTGTCAGCAACACCTAATTTGCAGTTTGAGTTTGCACTGATCTGTCCATGTAGTGAACAGGTGAAAAAATAAATACAACATTTTGTTGTTTACATTTACATGGATGTCTAGTCACTGATTCTCTCATCAGCTAAAATTATATGAATCTAAAAATTTAGCCTATTGTTTTCACTATTACTAGTTTAAAAAATTAATTCCAATCATGAAAAATGCTTTTCAAAGTTCATAAAGTTTAATAAAAGTTTAATAATTAAATTTACATACTACAACTAGACATAAAAACTATTACTATTGTGGGAAAACATACTGTATTATGGACACTACTGTGCAAAAGTCTTAGTCTACTGTTGGATTAGTTAGTATTAATCTAATCTAAATGTTTCTAAATTATTCTTACTTGTGCAGCCAGACAATACAAAACAAAATTTGTCTCAGCATATTTTATTATTTCTACATAAAACACACTCACAAATCAAAGAGAAAAGAAAACCTTCAGAAAAAAGGAAATATGCAAAAATGGAAAATCTTCTGAAAACAATAGTACTATACAGGAGAATGTGAATGAATGAATGAATGAATGAATGAATGAATGAATGAATGAATGAATGAATGAATGTAAAAATACAAATTGATGTGATTATTTAATGAAGCTTTACTTACATTCAAACAATAGCAGGCGCTCTTGAAACCTAGTTCAGTTAATCAAAGACTTTCTCCACTGTTTCATGTCAGGTTAAGTCAAGATAACAGATCTACATCTCACAGCCATCTTTCTCATCTAAACAAGATTATATGGTTTATAATTCTTTTTTAAATTAACATGAAAATTCATGAGATTGAAAAGAAGTGATTACAGGCAGTAAAGAAGTGCACTAGTAGGCTGGAGGTGGTTGGTGGGAAACGATGAGACCAGAGAAAACCATGTAAAGTTTCATATTTCAGTGGCGTGGGCTGTGGCTCTTCCAGTATGGTGTCTCAGCGAGCCAAGCACCCTGCTGTGATGTGGAAGCCCACAGCAAAATTTTGCTCATTACAAGGGAAGCAAATGAAATACTGCGTATTGAGCATTAATTGTATGCAACTGATGTGCAGCAGATGAGATGTGAACATCTGAAACCACATTTGATGTTTTGTATCACTATCCTCCCTTCTAAATGACCTTTTATTCTTTGTACTTAAATCTTTTACTCTTCGTCTTTTCATTTTTTTACTCTTATAGTTTCTTACTGCTGTTATTGCCTTATCTTTTACAACTGTATGTTACTGCTGTGACATTGAATTTCCCATTTTTGGGATCAATAGAGTACATTTATTTATCAATCTCTTTGAGCCATGATATAACAGGATATCAGCCACATACAGATTATGGTCATATACTGTATCTTGTTCTTTTTCTTGTAATGTGTTTGATATCAGCAGAAAAGCAGGGAAGTAGACAAGTGTTAATAGTACAAGTCAGGCATTACATGAAAATAACCCTTAGTAATAAGTATGAAAAAATGTTGGTTTTGGCATTAAATAAAATTATTTATTAATTATACAGCATGTGTTTTTCTTTGACATTAATCTATATATACTTACAGTAAGAAAATAGCCATGCTCCTTTTTCCTTTTATTGGCACAGAGAAAAATTAAAATATGCTAAAAACACAGGGAGAAGGAGAGAGAGATGGGGTGACAGGAGCATCACTGAGAGAGAGATGAAAGGTTTCAGTGAAGGTAGGGGAGCTAAGAAGAAGGGATTAGAGCAGAAAAGGAGAGGCAGATGGATGTAGGGTGGAGGTGATCAGTTCTGGTGGATAAGCCCCAGGATGAATATATACTCCTGAGATTTGTAAACTTTCATATTCTAATGTCAAGGGCTCTCACTGAAGGGTGTCTTAGTTAGTCCAGCACCCTGCTGTGACCTCCTTCTGAAAATTAACACAAATCCCAGTACGAAAACAGTTAGGCAGAAACTATGTTCTGTTCCTGACATTCTCCAGAAGAAAAATCAAATGGCACCATGCTGTGACGGAAACAGAGCAAGGACAGACTGAAGTTGGATAAACACGCCTGGAAGTATGGACCGAGTGCCGTTATAGTTTAATAAACACATCGAAATGAGTTTTATGTCAGAGGTAATAAAAATAAAGAAGTATTCCTTGACTGAGCTACTGTAAGTCCACGTAGTGCAAATACCTCCTGGATGTACCAACAAATGTATGACTGTGTTTTATCACTGCTGTTTTTTCACAGTTTACAGTGACACTGGGTAGTAAACACTGAGCACTTCAGTACAGTGTCTTTGGAACAATCTCCTCTGAAGGGGATGTGAGTGTTTACTATATACTGATAAGGTAATTAAGTCCTTCAGATTTCCTTGTAAATGTGCTGTTAACTGTTGTTTTACTAAAAGCTGCAAATGCACTTAAAGACATCTTTCAATTTTTTTGTTTTGTTTAATTAAGTTTATAAAAAACGGAAAATTGTGTTTGAGGTGCTTGGGTAGCACTCGGTGTTTTAGATTTTTTTTCATAATTATGTTTCTTTACAGTGGTTTTATAACACAAAAAATAAGTAAAGGTCAATGGTACAAGTACAGGCCAAACTATCAGTCCCAAGAGTTTCAAATCTTCAAAAGTTGAGTCTGACTGGAGTTTCCAGAACTTTCCTTTTATTTTATAATCCTAGTCAATCGGGAAAAGTTTATCTTAAATCTCTAGGTTACTATGTGAAATGCAGTTCTATGAATGAAACAGTGGAAGAAAATGTAATTGAGTTTGAGTCCAGTTACCATAGTGTGAAGTTTTAGTCATGAAAGCCATTTCGAATATGATGTAATTGATTGCCCCCAAATTGACCTGTTGGCAGAATTGTTATTATGAACTTCTTATGAACAAACTGGAGCCTAGCGTGGCTACATGTTCACATATTGCAGTACAAAGAAAGGGATTATGAGCTTATCATCATTACGCTCTGTCTTCAACTGACTTGAACACTCTTCAATGAAGCTTTCTCAAAAGTCACGGTCATTCAAAGGCCACCTGTGGTTGGAGAGGCTGCTGCTAGCTCAGACCCACGAAAAAAAGTGCAACGATCCAACAGCTGCCCCTGCTGAGAACAGCCCTGTGTGACAGCATAACACTTTCCCTGATTAATCAAACCAAGCAGCGGAGGTTATGTGTCATTAAGAGCCACGCTAAATGACTTCACTTCATTCATTAAAGTGGAGCATCCTCTGTGAGTTAAGCATCTCTGCTCAGCAGACAGAAAGACCGACGGATGGACGGAGGGAAAGGAGAGTAAATGTTGGGAGAGGAGGGATGGTGATGGGTCAGCAATAAGGGTGGTGAGGGCAGTGAGGCAAGATAAACAATGACAAATATAGACCCATTACGATGTTGAATAATTCATCATCTGCCCAGAACTTCAGGAAAACAAAAGGGTAAAAAACAAAACAACTATGAGGATTATGGAGACTTTATTGGACAAAAAGCATCTTCAGAGCAGGACTACTCAAAGAAAGGCACCTTGTTTAGGACAGACTAACAAAATCACGGCCAAATCACTCTAGATTGGAAAATGGAGTTCCAGTGAACTAATCCCTCGTGCTTTTTCATTAGGCACAATTGTAGTTTTAATGAATCTGTGCTGCCGAGCCACTCGCTTGGCCAGCAAGGTGTGAGTGGATTAATTATGCAAAAGGGACATTAGCTGCCGACAGTGACTATTGCTGTGTGAGCCATTATTTCCACTCTTCTACAAGTGTAGGCACACAATCACACAAACTATAGTTTAAACTATAGTAAAATCACACAAAAAAAGAAACAACCAAAACATAAAATATGCACATTGATCAGTAATTTCAACATGAAAAAAAGAGGTAAAGATGGGTTACAGCCAACAAAACCAGAAAGTATACAGTAGAAAAAGAGGGGAAGGTTGGAAGGGAAGAGGAAATAGGGGCAGAAAGAGAGGTGGAAACGACACAGGGAAGGAAGAGGAGGAGGAGCGTAAATGATTAATGAAAGAATGTGTGAAACGGTGAGAGGAGGTGAGGATGGAGCATTGTAGGAGTGACGCTGTGGCCAGTGAGCTAAACAGAAAATGACAACACTTTAAACATGTCTACTGCTGCCTGTCACACTCCCTTATCAGCTTGGATAGAGAAACTGTGTATACCCCAACTATTCAAAAAGGCCACATGCATCCCAGGCACAGCCTCGGACTGGCCCAGAGATGCTCAGAGAATCACAGTTGTCAGAGTCAAATTTTCAACAACAGAATAGACCATGAATGAAACACTCTTCACAGCTAAGCAACATGCAATCCACAATGAAACAATCGTGTGATAAGAAGCGTTACAGTTTTACTACAGTAACATGTACATCTCAGACCCTCATCCTCTGTGTCCAACCATCAGTGTCCAATAGGAGCGAAAGAATGTTAATCCTCTCTGATTTATGATGCTGTCACATCTATTTTCCATTTCTCGTCCTCTCTGTTACATATACAGTATTGTGTATTAATATATTAGGTTTTTTTTATTTCTTTTGTAGTGACTTTTACAAGCAGAAAAATCACAGCCACCAACTCAGCTTAGTTCTCTAAAGTTCTTTTTTTTAAAAAAAAACATGTAATTTTGGTTTTGTGCTGTTTATTTTGCACAAAATTAAAATGTGAAATTGAATATTTCAAAATAAATCTATAAAAGGTAAAATACAGATCAGAAGCATCTGACAAATCTAATGCAACATCTGACCAATGTCAGGAATATTATGAATTTAAAATGTGTCTCTTGACATGTAAACAAGAACAAGTGCAAAAAAATATTCGGTCATTCTGCTTCTATAAAAGCCTTTGTATTGTCATTAATCCCAAAGAATGTGATTATAGGGAAACAGCTTTGTATTATAGATTCCATATTATCTTGCAGTGAGAAAACAACCATCAAACGCTGCGATTATTTTGCTCTTAGATGTGATAACGCTGAACAAAGACTTCCATTAGACTCCTCCAACTTCTGGCCGTATCTCAGTCAAATACGTGCCGTCAATTAATCCCACACTGGCAGTGTGCTGTGGCTCTATCAGCCGCTGCTCACTGATGCATTTATAATTGGTACTTTTGCTGATGGTCACAGGTTAAATCTATATTCTCCATTACCTTTCCCCGGCAACCCTTGGGGTCTCTCTAATGGTTCCTGCTAAAGGCAAAGCACTTGAATAGGGATATTCATTTAAAGTAGATTCTCTCTGACGCTGTCCGGCCTCTGTAAGGAGATCAGGTGCAGGTTTATGTGTGTAGATGAGACTCTGAAGAAACAGTAAAAAGTTGCCTATCATTAACAATAACGGCATCATTCTCAATGTAAACAGCTTAAACTCTTGGCCACAGTTTGGCCTCCACTGAGGGAATCCTGAGTTTAGCCTCCATCTCTGTCTTACTACAGAACAGCTCTGAGAGCAGTTAGTACAGCCCTGGATGTTACCACAGATTTTAGCAGGTACTTGACAAGCAGCACAAATTAAGATGACAAACTTTAATACAAAGGTTTATGGCATCAAAGGGATTAAAATGTTGACAAGCCACATTACTGTTTTCCCTATTCTGCAATAATGTGATAAAACACATAGTTGTCATACTGATCACTTTAAAGATGTAATACTACAAACAACAGCTCACACTGCATTCCTCCTGCAGAGACAGCAGGGACACCAAATGTCATGGTTAAAAACGATAAGACCCAAAGAATGAAGCTCATATCCTGACACAGAGGAAGAGTCTGACATACTCTGGCGCAGACCTTGTGTTTACCTTTCATTAAGTAGAGCTCCCAGAATCCACTACTCCCCCTCCTCACCTTTGGGGAACTCCACAGCAAACAAAAAAGAGCGCTAAGAGAAAGTCTCCCAATGGAGTCAAGTTAATGTATCAGCTATCAGCTGTTGTATCAGCTCACAAACTGTTGAATGGTTTCACTCATTTGAAAAAACAAAAACTAAACTGCTTCCTCATGGTTTATTCTACACCAGTGGACAGAAAACAATTTATCATAATAAATAAAATTACAAAGTTTGCAAAGTCTCAAACATTATATATTGACTATTATTGCAAAAGAAATACATAAAAAAAAGTGTTCGGCGAAAAGGAAAAAAAAATGCTGTCCAAGTATGCACATGTTACAGTAAAAGACTGATAACGGCCCACTTATCAAGATGCCCAGACCACAAGTCAAACTGTAGCTCCAAACCTCCAACTGTCATTACTGTGCAATTTTGATAAATGTTACGCTCAGAAGAGGGTTACTATCACAGATGCTAAAGACATTAACAGAAAAATGTCTGCCTGACAGAATCCAATGAAGATAAAAAGTTTTAAGTTACTGTAAATACACTGTAAATAGATGTTTGATTTTCTCTACCTTTACCTGTTCAACATAGAAAATTCCATTCTGTGGTAAAAGGGAAAAGTCTTTATATCCAACTTCATCAGGAGCCACTGTTAGATTCTGGTGTCAGTTAGGTTTTACTTTGATGATTATATGTAAACTTTTTTTTAAAACAACCACACCATATACAGTATTAGGGCTGTAATGGTACGTGTATTTATACTAAACCATACTAAACCATTGGTTACAGAGTAGTGAGGTGTCGTTCGCGAGTGATTCATTCAATATGAACGAATCTTTCATATGACTCGTGATCTCACATGAAAGATTCGTGACTCCCGAGTCATATGAAAGATATTATATTATTATATTAAATATATTTGTTCACACTGAACTCACGAATCACTCACAAATAACTTTCTGCGAACTAATCCTTCACTGCGAACTAATCACTCATTGCAAATGAATCACTCACTGCGAACTAATCTTTCC